TCCGGGGAAGACGAAATGGCAATCCCATTAAGGGAACCCAATAACCCCAGATTAGCATCCCCTCTGGGTGCCAAGTTGTTTATGTTGGTGTGTTAAGTGTGTGTGTGTGTGTGTGTGTAAGAGCCCCTTCCCAAATCCATAATCCCGAAGCAGAGCTTCCTTCTTTCCTTCCCTTTCTTCCCTTCCCATTCCTTTCTTCCTTCCTCCCTCCCTTTTTTCCTTCTTTCCTTCCTTCCTATTCCCATTTCCTTCCTTCCTCCCTTTTCTCCTCTTTTCCTTCCTTCCTATTCCCATGTCCTCCCTCCCTCCCTCCTTCCATCCATCCTATTCCCATTTCCTTCCTCCCTCCCTCCCTTTTCTCCTTCGTTCCTTCCTTCCTATTCCCATGTCCTCCCTCCCTCCTTCCATCCATCCTATTCCCATTTCCTTCCTCCCTCCCTCCCTCCCTTTTCTCCTTCTTTCTTTCCTTCCTTCCTATTCCCATTTCCTTCCTTCCTTCCTCCCAGGTAACCCAAGCAATACCCAAGGTCTTTCAAGATGGGGAATAGCAACTTCACAGCCCCCTCCCACAATCATCTAGTTCGACATACCTAGGAAGGCTGAGGGAGGAACGGCCCAGCACCCCCAAACAGAAATCAAATCCTTGGGTTGCTGAAAAAGTTGCATCTCCTTTTTTGTTTGTTTGTTTTCCTTTTTAAAGCAACAAAAAAAAGTGGACCCTTCTCTAAAGCAAACATTGCAGCCTAGCCCCAAATTTCAAGCAAAAGGCAAGCAAGCAAAACAAAACAATTTATTTTTTTTGAAGGAGACTCCAAAGTTTCCATAAGGAATAGGGGGACAGATCCCGTCTGTCTGTCTGTCTGTCTGTCTGCAAATGATCTGAGAATTTGCTGGTTGGTTTATGGACGGGGTGCCTGGAGGGGAAGCTATAGGCATCAGGCATGGCTGCTCACAGTCCTTCCAAAGAGGTGGGGGAGTCCAGTAGAGGAAAATTTAGCCTGCTTGCCCCTCCCTCCCTCTGGGTCCTGGGCTCCCCCCCCCCCCAAAAAAAAAAAAAAAAAAGAAAAACTGGTGTGTTTTCCTTTGGAAAACGGTGAGCCTGGGAGGGAGGCGCGTCTGGCTGGGTTCTTGCTATTCTCAAAAACCCGTCCCAGTCCTCTGCTCTTACTTTTTTCCTTTCTTGACTTCTTTTCTTTGGGTGTGTGTGTGCTTTTAAATAAACATTGGCCTGCCGAGGAACATGGGGAGAGAGAGAGAAAGAGAGGAGGGGGAGCGGCATTTAATTAATTTATTTATCTGCAAACCCTTTTTACAAGGCCGTGTCCCTTCATACGAGACCCCTCCGCCGCCCGGAGTTGAACTCTTAGAAGTTCTTTCCCTTTCTATAAATCACAACTGCTGATGAAGTCACGCTTTTTTTTTCCCCCCCCCCCCCCAAAAAGGGGTTGGGGGTTTTTTTTTTTTTTTTTTTCCAGGAGTGGCTTTGGATTCAGGGATGGGTGTGTGTGTGGGGGGGGAAGAGTTGAAAGACTCCCCCCCCAAAAAAAGACCTCTTAGGTAGCCACCAACCTTCCCCGTGTCCCTCAATTCTCACCTTTTCCGCTTTCTCCCTTAACTTCTCCAACCTTCCTCCCCAGTGGAGCTCCCTTTTCCAATGGCTCTTTTTAAGGGCAGGATGTTTTAACAAAAAGAGGCTCCAAGCTTGTATTTAAAAAGAGAAAAATAAACAACAGCCCCCGAAGTGTCAGGACAGAAAGGGTGGCCTCTTCGCACACCCCACCCTCCGGATCTCGGGCTAATATATATCTTTCCTTCCCTTTTTTTTTTCCTGGGTGTTTATTTTCCTTTCCTTTTTCTCTCCCTCCCTCCCTCTCTCTCTTTCTTCTTTTTGCAGAAAGCACGCTCTCAATTGCCATAGAATGAAACCGGCTTTGTTCAGCGTCCTGTGTGAGATCAAAGAGAAAACAGGTAGGAAAGGCCAGCTTTTTTTGGGGGGGGGGGGGGAAAAAAAAAAAAAAACAAACCAACAAAAAACACGGAAACCCCCCCCCCCAAAAGAGGCCCTGGGCTCTGGCACCCTCTTCCTCCCTCCCTCCCCCCCCACCCAGTTCCCCCTTCCCTCCCTGGATAAACGGGGCCACCGACTTCTGCTGCCCCCTCCTCATCTCTGGGAGAAGCTGCGTTTGGAGCCGCAGCCATCTTTGATCTGTTCTGATCGGTTGGGGATCTTTTAGGTCCCGAAGCCCAGTGGGAAAAACCATCCTCGCAAACACACTGGGGTTGTTGTTGTTTTTTGTGTTCCGTTTGCAAAAAAAAAAACCCCAAAAAGCCGCCCAGGCTGCAAAAGGCAATGAAAAGGGGGATGAAAAAAAATAATATGGAAGCGCAAATCGTGCGTCTCTCCCTGCCACTTCCCTGCGTTTCTTATCAAAGCACCGGAGCGGATTTAGCTAGCTTTTCTTTTCTTTTTTTTTCCCCTCTTGTCTTCCTTAGCTTTCCATTCCTTCTGATGGAAGTAACAGGGGAGCTAATTACAATTACAGAGAGTGGCTGAGCTAGGAATTTGCCGGATCCCCTCTGGTGTTTTAATTTGTTGTGCTTGCCGGGCGAAGAACATCTCGCTTGCAAAGCGCCTTCTGCCCTCTCTTCCTGCTTTAGGGTGGTTTTTTTTTCTTGTCTTCTGGGGGTGGGTGGGGGGGAAACTCCTGGTTGTTTCCAGAAATGCTTTTAGAGGCTGCAGGAACATCCCACCCCACACCCAGGATCTTTTATTTTTTTTTTATTTTTTTACAAAGGGGTGAATTAGACGTGGTTTCATATCTCTCTCTGCCTGGGGGGGGGGGAGATTTCAACCTGGCAGTTTTGAATCTCCCCCAAAATAAGGGATAGAGGGAGAAAAAAAAAGAGAGAGATTCTTGTCTCAAAGTCTAAGGTTGACAAAGCAAGGCTCCAGGAAAGCAAGATTTTATTTTATTTGCAGGCCAGTTTTTAAGAGCTGAAAAAAGAGTTCTTACTATCAGGAGCTGTCTGCTGTAAACTTGATAGTTTTAAAACTGTATTTTTCATCATTCAAACTGCAGAGAGTTGTTGGACTCTTAACAGTTATTAAGTTGCTCCTTCTAAAGGGCGAACTAGCAACATGTTGTTTGTTTATTTAAAAATAATAATCTATTGACTTCCTAGCAAGGGTGTAAACTCCAGGTTTTTTCCGGCATTGTCTCAGTTGGCGGTGCATTCGTGCATGTGTGAAATTTTAAGTGAAAAAGAGAAGCAAAATACCAGAATCCCTAACATTTAGGTCTTTAGAAACCCGCGCGAGCGGAAAAAGTACAGAGCTGGTATTGCTGGAAGTGTCTACACAGGAACAGTTGCCAAAGCTATATTAATTTTTTTTTTTGCAAGTCTCACCTGTTTTTCTTTTTTCCCCCTTTCTTTTAAATTGAGAAGTTGATAAAACTGTTTTCTAATACTGTGCATTATGTGCTGATAATGGAGCTTTGCCTAGAGTTTTAGCATTGTGTGGTTTTGCTTGCTGGGGGGGAAAGAGAGAGAGAGAGAGAGAGAGATGGTAAATGGAAAGAAAAGGTGGGAGATTGATCTAAAGAGGGGTCCTTGCTGGAATTGAAACCCAGCCAGTGAAAATTCCTGTGAAAAGTCCCCTTGTGCTTCGGCCGGCGCGAAAAGGAATACCCTGCATCCTAATTCAAGCCTTGCCCTGTGCTCATATATTTACTGCCAGTAAGCCAGCTGACCTTGCCAAGCTGAATGTGGGAATGGCCTGGCGGTGTTCTCTGCCCACCTTCAAATTTTTGGAGCTGGGAAAATGAGAAAAGAAAGGTTAGGGTGTTGGGGTTGTTGTTTTTTTGTGGCTGTTTTCCTGCTGTTTGGACTCTGCTAAGTGATAGTTTCTCTCTCTCTCTCTCTCTCTCTCTCTCTCTCTCTCTCTCTCTCTCT